ATTTGATAAATACTGGTATGTTCACCTAAGCAAACTGATGTGTTACCGAAAACATCAAAAGTTTTCAATAAAGATTAGCAAACAATACTTTCAAATATTTTTTTTTTCTATTTAAACGTATTTTGAAGTAATTACCTTAATACACCATGTTGGAAAGAGGCGTAGTTCCGTCCTCAGGTGAATCCTCCTTCCTCGGCTTTTTCGGCAATGTCTACTTACACCTTCAGAGGTGCGCCGACTGGGATGATCAAGTCCAAGCCCGAAACCACTTGGCTATCCATCCGTGCCTCTATACTTTACTGCCTATACTGCTCAGAACTTTTTCTCCACAACCACATTGGTGATGTCTCTGCCTCTTTGCACAAGTTACCAATCAGTTTACTTCTTTCCACTCCAACAATACCAACGCCCTCAATGCCCTCCACATAAACTGTCCAACAAACCCTCTGCTTCCCACTTCCACTGGAAATAACCAAACCCCCCATCCATTGTCTGTACATTCTGCAAGTAAGTCTTGATACTTTAATCTCTTTCTTTCGTTTGCCTCTTCTATTAGTTTTTCCAATGGCGCTGTTAGTTCCAGAAGGATTGCCTGTTTTGTTGAGGCTGACCAAATGACGATGTCAGGTCTCTGGTTTCATGCTTCAATCTGTGGCGGGAAATGTAACTTCTGCTTCAGATCCACCAACATTTGCCAATCGGTTGCTGTTCCCAGTAAACCACTTCCTTCCACACTCTTCTTCTGTCCCTTCTCTCCTTCCTTAACAAAACTGACATAGGTTAGGCTTCCTTGTTCTTTCTGGGCTTCCTGATGGTTCTCTCTAGGGTGTCTGCTAATGTTCCTAATACCTTGTCGTGTCGCCATGTGTACCTCCCGTCTTTCAAGCACTCAAACATGAAGATAGTATATGCTACAAATTTGCTACTGCAACGAATACACTCTGGGTCATCTATGAAACCCCATGTTGCTAGATTTGTTGGACATGGCAATACATCATATACCGACTTCAGCTTGAATTGCAACCTAGATGGCTCCATCTTCCAGATCTCATTCTATCCTAACTTCAGCTGCCTTGTTCCTTCCCAGTTTAACCAGCTTCCCATTTTCTTCATACTCACTGCCTTTACTATTCTACTTTCCTCTTCCATTGTTCGTACCTCTTTCGGTACAAGGTGTCTTTTCTCTTCCACTGTTGCTGTTCTCCATTTAGCTGTAGGTGTTACATCCAGCCCTTGCCTTCCAACTGCAACTCTGCCAACTATCTCACTGTGATCTAATCGTAACTCAGCACCTTCTACTGTCTTCTTTGTCGACCACTTCCTTCCTGTTCTTACTTCTACTTTTGCTGACCGTACTTTCTCATCCCTGCTGTCTTTTAACATCAGATGTTGTCTAACCTTGGTCACCTTGAATTCCTCAGTGATTGACTTGAGTGGTAGCTGTAGCTTGCTCTCTAAACTGTTTAGACCCACACTGCTAAAACTACGTGGTACTCCCAACCATCTACGTAGGTAACCGTTTGTAATTCTTTCCATTCCTTCTACCGTTGTCATTGGTACATCATACACAAGAAGTGGCCACAGCAGACGAGGCAATATCCCATGCTGGTAAATCCATGCCTTGTATTTCCCTGGTAATCCGCTCTTATCTTCTGCCTTTAACTAGTCGTCCAACTGCTTATATGTATCTTCCACATTCAACTTATCTGACAAGGTGTTGTTGAACCATTTTCCAAGGCACTTAACTAGTTCCTCTGAGACTGTCTTATCTCGTCTCCTATTTTAAACCTTTCCTCCTTAACTTTACCATTCTTTACCACCAAAATTCTGGATTTGCTTGACTTCACTTTCATTCTTGCCAAGGTGATCATCTTATCAAGCTCTTGTAGTGTCCATCTGGCTTCAATCACTGTCTTTGTGCTTATTGTCATATCATCCATGAATGCCCTTCCTGGTAGTTGCCGTACTCCTGATTTCATTCATGACCCTCTGCTCTTCTTCTCTACTGACTTCACAATCATATTCATTGCTGCTGAGAAAAGGATGACTGATATTGTGCATCCAGTCACTATTCCCACTTCTAAACGTTGCCATGATGTTGTATAATCTCGAACTGTAAATCTCAGCTGTAGAGTGTTGAAGTATTCGTTTATCAGCTCTGTTATCCCGTCAGGTACATGGTATCTTTCCAGCATCAGCTCAAGTAACTTGTGTGGAATTGTCCCGTATGCATTCGCTAAATCCAACCAGACGACTGCAAGCTCTCCCTTTGAATCGTTTGATTCTCGGATTATCTGTGATAATACAATTGTGGGTTCATTACAGCCTGATACACCTGGTACGCCTAATTTCCGTACTGCAATGTCAATATAGTTGTTGCTCAGCATGTAGTTTGTCATCCTTTTGGCAAGAATAGCAAGAAATATCTTTCCTTCCACATTTAACAGTGATATTGTTCTAAACTGTTTCTGACTTGTCTTCCTTTGGTATAAAGCACCCTTCTGCCTTGTACCAACTCTCTGCAAGTCGACCTCATCTCCATATGACCCTTATCATTTTCCATAGGCGTCTTGTAATTCTCTGGTAGTTCTTGTATACTTTATATGGTAATTCATTTGGACCTGGTGCTGATGCTGCTCTCCCTTTCTTGATAACATCTACTACCTCTTTCAACTTTGGTGGTGATTCATCAAAAGCCAGCTCTGGATCTTCATGGCGTATTAGTTGTTCTATCTCCGATAGGTTTTCTTCCCTTTTTGTATCACTGCGCATTTCACTTATAATTAGGTATTCTTCTACTTCCTCTTTACTAGCTTTCAGTAGCCCTGACCCTTTCTTCCCCAACAATCTTGATGTAAATTGGAAAGGATCTGAAGTGAATTGAGCTCTCGCTTTCTCTCTCTTCTTTCTCCTTTTCCTAGTTCTATCTGCTCTCCTTGTGATCTTAAGGTTCTTCCTGATGGTGTCCCTGAGTTCAGATAATGCTGGGTTTTCATCCTCTGCTGCCTGCTTATATCTTTTCTTAAGTTGCCTAAGGTCTTTCCACACCTTTGCTATCTTGGATTCTCGTTAGTTCTTTTGACCCTCTCGCCAAATCTGTCCATACCAATGTTGTAAATAAATGATGTCATCGCTTCTATCTTCCTGTCTATGTTACCTGCTAATGTTGTGTTAAAAATTGCATCTACATCCTCATCAAACTGTTGCCATTCCCTTTTGCTTTTATTGTTGGGCCATTTTACTTTCTTTCTCCTTATGTTGTCCTTGCTTGTGTCTGATGTCTTTTTGGCTCTTATGGCTGCCTGTTGTTGTCTAAACCCTCCTTAACCTGTTGACGCCTCTCTACTATGCTGTCCTCCTCATTGTATAACACACGGAGGCTGTGGTCACTGTGGTCTGTATCCTGAACCACCTCCTCCGTCTCACCAGGCTGCCCTGTGCGTTGTGTTATGCTCTGATTTGGCTTGCATCCCATCTTTCCTATATGTATCTTCAGACCACGTTGGTTCTTTCAAACTTTCCCACAGATGCATACATCTCCGTTGTTTAAATTCGTAGACCTTGTTCAGTCCTGTGTCTTCTACGGTGTTTCCAATACTGTAGGTCGCTCATCCTCCCCCGCTGTTTCGCAACCTTTGGGGTGTCGTAGAATATATCTGTCCATAGCTAGATAAAAATGGGTTCTTCCTCACAGAAGATGTGCTTTGCCTGCCAAGCCACTGCACCCCTTGATCCCAGTCTCTCCTAAATGTCTCCTGTCTCTCCAGGTTGTCACTGTTTTGAGGTCTTTTTTATATGATAATGTAAATTAACAATGTCAAGCAACATTTTTTTTTACTTGTCCACGAACAACAAAGACACAAAAAATGCTTGTCCGGTCGGTCAAATGTACGAGTCGGGCGGGTCGGGTTGTCAGCTTTCCTGGCTGTCACTGGTTTCCAAGGTTGAATTACCTTAATACATCCTGTTAGAAAGATGCGTGGTTCCGTCTTCAGGTGAACCCTCCTTCCGCGGCTGTTTCGGGGCTGTCCACTACAACCTCCAGAGGTGCGCCGACTGGGATGATCAAGTCCCAGCCCGAAACCACTTGGCTGTCTATCCATGCATCTACACTTTACTGCTTCCACTGCTCAGACATTTCCTCCATAACCACATTGATGATGTCTCTGCCTCTTTGCACAAGTTACCAATCAGTTTACTCCTTTTTCTCTCTAACAATACCATCGCTCTTAATGCTCTCCACATAGACAGTCCAACAAACCCTCTGGTTCCCACTTCCACTGGAAATAACCAAACCTTCCATCCATTGTCTCTACATTCTGCAAGTAAGTCTTGATTTTTAATCTATTTCTTTCTTGTTTATGAAAATGGTTAACTTTTTTAGGTAAGGAAAAAATTAAGTTATTTCTTATGTATCGGATTTGGAGTCCTTTACAAATTAAACGGGCAACATGCATTACTTGTAGATTCAATCATTCAAAACCCATCTCATCATCTATGTTGCCTTTGTTAAATTGACCAATTATTATGGCATCGTTTGCACATAAAACAAGCACCTGTGTGAAATTTATTTGTTCAGAGCTAAGCGTAAATATCGGCGAATTGAACAACAATTGTATGTTTCTTTTATATGACAGCCCTATGATGAAATATATGAAGTTCATATAAAAATAGTTTTTGCTCCATCACCTCTATATAACTAACGACTGAGGAAATAATTAAAATTTTTATCTATTTTTGAAATTTCAGGAGCCAAATAATTGCCCTCTGCATATAATCTGATATTTGCTCGTCAATCGTAAATTGGATTGTTTTCATGAATGTATAGTGTTTTGGCAGATTTTCCATGTACACTTTATTTTGTATCAGTTGTAATATTAAGAACTTCAGCTTTGAAGCTCTTTTTACTGTAATGATTTGGTAGAAACATACTTACTCTTTCATATGCTATTTAAAAATTACGAGGAAAACTAGTTCAAAGAGCATATGACAAAGACATGCTTCAATAAATTCACTAGGAAGTACTTGATAATCACACCCATTTTAAAATCGGTGTAAAACTGTCTTAGTGCGTCGAAGTGAATGCGAATATGCCGGTAGGTGCAATATTTTGTTAAAAATGAATTAGCCATGTAGCTTGTAAGCCGTGTAAATCTTTCGTTAAAGTATCGTTTATGACTTTATTCAATGAAATTGAAAAAAAATCAATAATAAATCAATTAAATCTTAGGAGTGTTTACCTAAAATTTTCAAAAGAATAAATCGCTTATTTCAATAACCTTTTATTAATGTTATCTGCTCTATGACGATGGTGATATGACCTTCTGTCGCAGAAAGCTCGACATAGGGATAGTGATCCAGTGGCGGCGGCGTCAACTAACTACTTAAAAGCTTTATATTTTAGAAGGTTGAAGAACTGGATGCTTCATACTTTGTATATATATGCCTAATGTTATGAAGTTTCCATCTGTCATATGTTAATTTTCCTTGACTTCATTTTCATGGTTCAGTGACTACTTGAAAAGAAAGTTCAGATTTTTTGTAATGTTAATTTCTCTCTTATTATGAGTAAAAGGATATCTATATTTAGTATGTGCGTAGCGTGCAAGGTCCTCTTGCCGGTTAGACAGTTTTTATCTGACATCGACTTCATTTCATGGATCGGTGAACAAGGTTAAGTTTGTGTGGTCAAGTCAATATCTCAGGTACTATAAACATAGATCTGCTATATTTGGTGTAAGGAATGATTGTAAGGTGTACATGTCCAACTTGCAGGTGTCATCTGACCTTGACCTCATTTTCGTGGTCCAGTGATTAAAGTTAAGTTTTTGTGTTTTGGTCTTTTTTTTCTGATACTTTATTGAATAGGTCAACTACATTTGGTGTTTGTAAATATTTTACGATGTACATGTCAGTCTGGCAGGTTTTATTTGACCTTGACCTTTTTTTCATGGTTCAATGCTTAGTGTTAAGTTTTTATGTAATCTTCTGTGTTTCTCAAACTATAATCAATAGGTGAACTATATTTGGTGTATGAAATGAATGTAAGATGATATGTTTGTCTGGTGTGTAATTTCATGGTCCATTGGTCAACGTTAAGTTTTTATGATTAAGTTTGTTTCTTAGATACTGTAAGCAATAGGTGAATTATATTTAATGCATAGATTGATTGTAAGGTGTACTTGTCTGTCTGGCATGGTTCATCTGACCTTGAGATCATTTTCATGTTTAATTGGCCAATGTTAAGTTTTCCTGTTTAAGTCTGTTTCTCATCAGAAACAATAAGTAATAATTAAACTATATTTGGTGTATGGAATGATGGTAAGGTGTACAGTTATTTCTGGTTTGGTTTATCTGACCTTGACCTCATTTTCTTCGATAATGTTAAGTTTATCTGATACTTGTAGTAAAGCTTTATATTTTGGACTATCAACATAAAAAAATCGTAAGGGTTCTGCAGAACCCAGTGTCTCGCCTACTTTTACTGTTGTCTATGTTTTCAGTGTGATAGTGGAATGCACATAATAGATTCGCAGTTAATGAAATAAAACATTTGAAATGTATGAAAAAAGTTATGCTGGTAAAAAATGAATACAGTTTGCAATCAAATCTATAGATTTATAAAAGAGTTGAAACATAAATTTATTGAACGAACAAATGATAAAGAGGATAATGTTTACATTTTCCTCTAGATACTATCTTTTAATTGTAAGAAGCTTCTGTCCAAGTTTGATAAAAATCCAGGATGGTTTATGAATCTAATAAATGTTTTCAAAACATTAACTGCAGACTGTATGTAATGTTAACTGGAAGAAAAACTGAGTTCATTTATAAGTAATATACGGAAAAACAGGAAATACATTTTTTTACAAAATTTCCTTTTAGATTCTAGCTTTTGATCATAAACAAGCTTCTGTCCAAGTTTGGTACAAATCCAGGATAGTTTAAGAAAGTTATTAAAATTTTTAAAACTTTAACCACAAAGTGATTGTAATGTTAACTGGCAGAAAAACTAAGTCCATTTATCAATAAAATACTGATAAACAGGATTTGTTTTTACAAAATTTACTTCTAGATACTATCTTATGATTATAAACAAGCTTCTGTACAAGTTTGGTAGAAATGCAGGATACTTTAAGAAAATTATTTTAAAACCTCAAAAACTTTAACCATAGAATGAATATTTGTGGACACCGCCGACGACGACGACGACTACAGAATGTAGGATCGCTATGTCTCGCTTTTGCGACTTTAGTCGCAGACTCGACAAAAACCAAATGATCAGTGAAGCAGCCGGAACATTTCGGCGTGTGTACTCTTGTTTTTAATTGTCGATGTTTTATAGATGACAGACCGAAGGCAACTTGGGAGTATTCATTAAATACGTCCTTTAAAACAGGGATGATTATGTTTCGGTATAAACTTGTAATGGAAACCAGTTATAATGGGAATTATATCCTGTATAACATTGCGCATCATGACTATACAATTAGCAATTATAATCTGCAATGGATTAAAAATGCTAGCTAAATCATTATCGGAATTCTTTCGTTTTCTATAAATCTGTTTGTGGACTTGTTTTTTCTTTGTCTTTCTTTTTTTTTCGTGTCCGTCGTATACTTTATCAAAGATCTTCCCATTTGAAAGCATTTTAATCATAACGTATAAAGTATGTGTTTTTCCCCTGTTCAGTCATCAAACTTGGCCGGTATGGTAAACGTAGAACATATGTTTAAATGCATCAATTGTCTTGAAAGTCATACTAGATAGAGAAAACCTGACGGGGACGGGGGTAAAAATGCTCAGGATGTAAAGATCGTTCAGAATTGTAAAAAAATAATTTTTGGCAAAAAGGCTTGATGATCCATTCAGTCTCCAAGAAGCTTCTTGTTTATTTAGACTATGCTTATTTATAAGAATAACAAACGAAAAAGTTCTCCTGGTTTATTATAAATGTATTATTATTATTTTTTTATTGTTTATTTTGTGTTAATATAATCCATATGTGTATCATCTAAAACATTGTATCTACAACTATGTATGAATGTTTGATATCACTCTTTGTACCTTTATTCACTAGTTGTAAATTACAAAGACTGCGACAACGTGACTTTGGTTATTTTGACAAGATATGCGCAGTTTTAATCGAGAAACTTTTATAGTCTAATTGTTTAAATAGATATAAGATAAGTTTAAAGGAATTTTTATGATGAAATTTCTTCTCCAGGTAAATGCAATTAAACCTTTCAAATTTTCACAATCAGAGTGTGACAGCATGTCTTATGTTAAAAGTGGTTGTATTTGATAATATCCAGTATTCATATGAGGATAACAAGAATATAATATGGTAAAGTAAAAAATAAATAAATGAAAATATGAACTAATTAATAATAAAACATTGACTTTTACATAGAAAAAAAAATTGTTGTATGGAATATACACAGTAAGAATTAATTCACCTTTCATTTTAATCTATTTGGTATGGTAAACGCTTGTCAGAGCTCAGTCGAGATTAACATTAACACGGTAGGTATAGTGTCCGGTGAGGATTGTGGTTTTTCGAGTGATTTGGTCGGTTTTTTTTCGAGTGTGACCACTTTTTTTCGAGTGAATATGATCAAAAACTCGTAAGGATTCCGCGGAACCCAGTGTCTCGCCTACTTTTTTCTGTTAATCGCAGGCTCAACAAAAATGAGGAAGTAAATCAATAAAAATATTCCTCTTGATACTATCTTTTGATTGTAAGAAGCTTCTGTCCAAGTTTGGTAAAAATACAGGATAGTTTATGAATCTAATAAATGTTTAAAAACTTTAACTGCAGACTGAATGTAATGTTAACTGAAAGAAAACAAAATTTCCTTCTAGATACTAGCATTTGATCATAAACAAGCTTCTGTCCAAGTTTGGTACACATCCAAAATAGTATAAGAAAGTTATTAAAATTTAAAAAATTTAACCACAGAGTGAATGTGTTGTTTTTCGGCAGAAAAACTAAGTCCATTTATAAGTAAAAAACGGAAAAAATGGAATTTTATTTTTACAAAATTTACTTCTGGATACTATCTTATGATCATAAACAAGCTTCTGTCCAAGTTTGGTAGAAATCCAGGATAGTTTAAGAAAGTTAGTAAAATTTCAAAAACTTTGACCACAGAGTGAAAATTGTGGACGCCGCCGACGACGACGACGACGACGACGACGCCGACGCCGACGGAATGTAGGATCGCTATGTCTCGCTTTTTCGACTAAAGTCGAAGGCTCGACAAAAATGTAAACAAACCGACTTACTTTCTGAAAAGACGTGATATAGAAGCTTGAGTTTAATATACAAGGATATACAAGGTGTGTTAGTATTTGAGGTAAAAAGATATTATCAATCCGACATTATTTTTCGTTCAAAAAGTTGAATTTAGCCTTACAATGCTTTTATTAAAAAAACCCAGAATAAAGCCATTTTTATACACATACCAATGCAAACGTCGATGGAAACGCATACATGGGATCCTTATATCCTTAGATATACAGACACTTTACAAAAATTCTTGTTGTGGCATTGAAAAACGATATTTTGAGACTAAATTCATTTCTATGTGTTCGGGTTTTCGAGAGCAGTCCGGGCTTTTTCGAGTGCGTCCGTGTTTTATCGAGTGATTATACAAATTTCCTATAGCTTAGAATGTTGTGTGTCAGTGTATTTACGTTTAAAAACAATAAAAAAGGGTTAAAATTATGTACTTTTTAATGCACGAAACCAATGCATTCATCAGTTTAATAAAGGTGTACTAACACTTAGACTTTATAAACAAGTATCAGCCATCTGTATATATTGTTGTTTGTCACATCTCATAAATTACATGTACAGTTTATATTCATGATGTCAACAATCTAATGTAAGCATAGACAATTTGGATTGAGACGTACGTACAAAGAGTGAATTAAGCTGATGAATTATTCATTTCATTGTTAACTATATATGAAATTTAATTCAGATGTTATTATCAATGGGAATAAAAACTGGTCGGATAAAGTGTCTTTTAGTAGAATATTTTTTATTACATATAAAAAAAGAAGATTATGAGACAACTCTCCACAAGAG